TACACTGACTCACTCACACATCATACACTGACTCACTCACACATCATGCACTGACTCACACCATGCACTGACTCACTCACACATCATACACTGACTTACTCACACATCATACACTGACTCACTCACACCATGCACTGACTCACTCACACATCATACACTCGCACAACCACTGACCCATTCACTCATGATACACAGGTTCACTCATCGTGTGCTGGCTCACTCGCACGTCATACACTCACTCACACTGCCGCTGACTCGCTCACACATCATACACTCACTCATTATACGCTGACTCACTCATCATGCGCTGACTCACACATCATACGCTGACTCGCACATCATACACTCACTCAACCTAATACTGACTCAATCATCATACGCTGACTCGCACGTCATACACTCACTCACGCTGCCGCTGACTCGCTCACACATCATACACTCACTCACTCATCATGCGCTGACTAACACATCGTACACTCACTCACTCATCATGCGCTGACTCACTCATCATACACTCACTCACGCTGCCGCTGACTCGCTCACACATCATACACTCACTCATCATGCGCTGACTCACTCATCATACACTCACTCACACTGCCGCTGACTCGCTCACACATCATACACTCACTCAACCTAATACTGACTCACTCATCATACGCTGACTCACACATCATACGCTGACTCACGCTGCTGCTGACTCGCTCACACATCATACACTGACTCACTCATCATACACTGACTCACACATCATACACTCACTCACTCACACATATACTGACTCACTCACACATCATACACTGAATCACTCACACATCATACACTGACTCACTCACACATACACTGACTCACTCATTATACGCTGACTCACTCATCATACACTCACTCACACTGCCGCTGACTCGCTCACACATCATACACTGACTCACTCACACATATACTGACTCACTCACACATCATACACTGAATCACTCACACATCATACACTGACTCACTCACACATACACTGACTCACTCATTATACGCTGACTCACTCATCATACACTCACTCACACTGCCGCTGACTCACTCACACATCATACACTGACTCACTCATTATACACTGACTCACTCACACATAATACACTGACTCACTCATCATAAGCTCACTCACTCACATCATACACTGACTCGCTCATCATACACTCACACTACACTGACTCACTCACACATCATACACTGACTCACTCACACATCATACACTGACTCACTCACACATCATACACTCACTCACACATCATACACTGACTCACTCACACATCATACACTGGGAGTGTCGTGCTGCCAGCTATGGCTGCAGTTTTTTTTGTCGTACGTGTTATGTATATCGTTTATTGTTAAATTGAAAATCACAGTTCCTACGATTACTGTTGTTACATTGTTTTATAGCTTTATTTTGGTGATTCGAAAACATATGGTTAATCTAAATTGTCTTATGGTTGTTGTTGTTGGCTTGCACCTCATTGATTTTTGCACACAGCGTTTTAATGATTTTTGTATGTGTGTGTGGTGTTGTATATGAGCCTTTTCCAAAATTGATCTTAACAATAATATTTGCCGTTATATATCATATTTTTTTAACAAACAAAAAAAATTATCAATAAAACCCGTAAGCCAGGCACACGAAAAAACCAGATGTCGACCATAAACAGAGCCATTAATAAATAAAGAAATAATAAAACTCTCGAGGCGAGGATGTTAGCAGCTATCTGCGAAGATCTCCAGATGAACAAGAGTTTGATGTGCCCTAAGGGAGGTCACGCAGAGGGAAGCCCTCCGCAAGCCAGAAACGAGGATGCCCACGGGTTAAACCATATTTTTTTTAGGAGGCATTAAAACAACGGTTAAAATTTAAAATGCAATAACAAGAATAAGTTAGCGGTCCTCGTGCTCACTCCAATTAAGACCAGGCCACCAGATACATCAGTGAATTATTATCCAAACAGGTCCCTGCAGAGTGGGCTGGTAGGAACATTGGAATTTTGCGCAATTTTATTTTTACACCCCAACAGCACGAGATTTCACTTCGTTATGAAAGGGGACGGACGGACACATTAATCTATTGCAGGCTGGTACACTCATTTTACAACTTCGTTCCTACCAGTATAATTAATTCGCTATCAAATGAGTTTCACCTTTAATACTTTTACTGTTAAAACAAAGCTTGGAGACAAAATACAGTCACATCAAAGGTTTTCGAGAAGGAATGAGACAACGGGCAAACTTGCGAAAGAGTTTAAACAATATCCCAAGCAACCCCGACCACCTTTGTCTCTCTCGCAGAGCGGAGAAGCAGGAATCACACCTTATCACAAGGGGCCATGTGGAGCTAGCCAGACGGATTAATGAGAAACACTCACAACAGCCAGCGAGCACGTTTTTAAGTTAAAGAAGTGGCTACACATCAGTCACACATAAAATTAAGAATAACGTGTTCACCTTACACAACATTCAATTATAGAACCTTACAGAACCAAGGGATATGGATTCCAACAATCAAGAAACGGACCTCTTAAACTCAGGATGAAAATTATTTTTCTTTTTAATAATTCCATCATAACAATGCGAACCTCGGTAAACCGAGAGGTGTCGTGAGGACGTAGTTACAAACACGAGTCTTGGCGAACATGGGACCAAATGGTATTTGAGAAATATAAAGTCTAAAGTATAAAGAGATAGGTACTCCCGACCACCTTTGTCTCTCCCGCGAGCGCAGCGTCAGATACTACAGCAGCGTCAGATACTACAGCAGCGGAAAGAGCGCGGCCAGCAACGCCAAGCAAGAGCGTGCAGCAGCTCATCCAGCAGTGGAGGAAACTGCTGTCAGCGAACCAGCACGGGCGCGTTCGCGCATCTTGAAGGAGAGGGAGCGCGCGCCACCAGCGTGCCATCAGCACCAGCATCAGCACCAGCGCGTGCCAACATTAACCACCAGCGTGCCACAGCGCGCAACTTCGCGTCACCAGGGCTGAGAGGGCAGCGGTCCTGCACTCAACACCCATCGGCGCGACGACGGCGAGCGTCGTGCTGACTCATCCAGCCAGCGGTGGACAGAAACTGGCAGTCGTTCGTATGCCCCTCCCCCACACTCTCCCCCCCTCCTCACTCCCCCACCGCTACACAACGAACAAACTTTTTTTTTGACAAGGAAATCAACCGAGGCGTTTGCTCAACGCAAGAAATCAACAACGCTCCCATTAAACATACAAGACTCATGATAACTGCGTCAACTATTAGCTGATAACGAAAAACATCGCCACCCATTGAGTTACGTTGATGAGGCAATCAGAATTATTTCAGTCGAACGCTTTAATTGCATAATCGTTGATGAATCAATGAACGAACATCGCCGTGGTACTGTGCTGACGATTTCAAGCATAATAATTTCGCATATCAGAATGTGTTAAGGATTGGATACGAATCAAAGACCGAGTGCCGTCTTGTGTAATAATTCAAGTATACAAATTCGCATATAATAGAGTTAAGGTTTGATAGAATAGTTATGCATGTTTAATCTCTCTCTCAACAACCGATTGATTGCGTTACGCGTCGGGAATTAACCACAGGTGCCGCTATCGAGGTGAAACAACGCAATCGTGATGGTATCATGTTAACGCTGTGTTGAAATTCCAAAATCCTGAGATTGAGTTTCCATATTATCCAAAAATTAAAGTTAGCTAGAAAATAAAATTGATTAAAGCAGAAGGTTTGTGTGTGATTCTTCCTGAAATTCTGCATAATATTGTTCTGCGTATGAGATCTGAATCCTGGGGACCTATCATAAGCACACTATCACTACACATAATCCATAACACATAATTCATAATGTTCAATCGAGAGTAATCGTATCCTTATCGATAATACGGAATTAAAGAGCAGAGTCGAATCGACTCTCTCTCATTCACGCTCACAACGCCTGCGTCACTGCATTTGATTAATTGCGTTATTCCAATTCATAACACAATCCTCGTCACGGAGGCTCGACCTGATAATCCATAACGACCTACATTATCATAACCACGCCCACTCGCATAAATTAATACGATTATCTCTCGAATCAGCATAATTTATGCTAATTAACATAATTTGGGGTAAATTATGCAAATTCCAAATTTCATTTCATTTTTATTATTTTCATCAATTTTCATAACACCTATATATACAACAGTGGAATATTTTGCTGGTTTATTCCAGAATGTTTCTGTTACGAGTTGTCGCTTTTTAGATGTTCTGTGTTCAAATGTTGTTTGTTGCGGTTGCACCCGACTTAAGAGCCGCATGGCTCACAGGGCTATACCTAATAAATGAAACTTGAAAAACTATTACTATAGTACTATACCGCCTTCGACTTTTGCGAACGACCGGGTGTTTAAGGTTAGCGATTTGTCGTACTATCTGGATGTATAGCAAATGAAAAAAAATTACAATTGCTTTACTATGCGAGTTGAAAAATGTATGTGTTATAATATTGACGTGTTTTTTTTAAATGAGGTTCCCTTTATAACACCACAGTGTTATAACATTGTGTGTGACACTGTTCTAAACGTTTTTTTTGGTTTGGCCATGTTTTTGTTTATTGTAGTACGGAGTTAAACTGATTACCTTAATCTTTGTTTTCTTGTTGTTGTTTGACTTGCATACCACTGGGCTTTTTTTGCACAGCGTTGGTAGTGTACACGGTGCTTTTTTCAGGAATATTTTGCTGTTTTTTCCTGGATTTTCTGTTTGCACATGCACACAAAGTCACTTTAAGATGTTTTTCTTGTTTTTGTGTTTTTTGTTTGTTGCGGTTGCACCCGATTCAAGAGCCGAATGTCTCACAGGACGCTATAACCAAACAAATGAAAACCACTATGAAAACCACTGTGAAAACTGTGTAACACGCACAACACATCACACGCGCCCAGCCGCTGCGGTGTCACGTGCGGGAAATTCCCAACACGTCACCGCCCTGGCCCCGCCCACGGCTCCGCCTCCATTCGCCCCTCCCCCTCCCTCCTGCTCGCATCGCCATCCTTCGCTGTGGTCACACACACACACATCCCACACCATCACCACCACACACAAACACACACATTGCACACCATCATCACTACCACACACACACACACATCCCCTACCATCATCAACATCATCATCACCACCATCATCGTCGTCGTCGCGAAAACGTCGCTTTGATTGTACGATGGCGAACAGAGATGGCGGGTGAGTTCTCACTATCGTCGTCGTTATCATCATCACAGTGTTGTTGTTTTAACCCTTACACAGCGGGCTCTGATAAGGTAACCTGGTAACCTGCTACGAGTTACACCGACATCAATGTTAACCCGAGGTGGTAACGTGTTGAGTTATAGCGTGATCGGGTTAATCTGTTATACGTTCACGTGTTCACTTAGTTACACACAGGCCTCGTGGTAACCTGTTATATCTAAACGGCGAGGTAGAACTAGTGTGTTAACTTAGTTACACACAGACCTCAAGGTAACCTGTTATATCTATAGTGAGATAGAACTAGTGTGTTGACTTAGTTACACACAGGCCTCGTGGTAACCTGTTATATCTACACAGTGAGATAGAACTAGTGTGTTAATTTAGTAACACACAGGCCTCAAGGTAACTTGTTATATCTAAACGGTGAGATAGAACTCGTGTGTTAATTTAGTTACACACAGGCCTCAAGGTAACCTGTTATATCTAAACAGTGAGATAGAACTAGTGTGTTAACTTAGTTACACACAGGCCTCAAGGTAACCTGTTATATCTATAGTGAGATAGAACTAGTGTGTTGACTTAGTTACACACAGGCCTCGTGGTAACCTGTTATATCTACACAGTGAGATAGAACTAGTGTGTTAATTTAGTAACACACAGGCCTCAAGGTAACTTGTTATATCTATACAGTGAGATAGAACTAGTGTGTTAACTTAGTAACACACAGGCCTCAAGGTAACCTGTTATATCTACACAGTGAGTTAGAACTAGTGTGTTAGCTTAGTTACACACAGGCCTCAAGGTAACCTGTTATATCTACACAGTGAGATAGAACTAGTGTGTTAATTTAGTTACACACAGGCCTCAAGGTAACCTGTTATATCTACACAGTGAGTTAGAACTAGTGTGTTAGCTTAGTTACACACAGGCCTCAAGGTAACCTGTTATATCTACACAGTGAGATAGAACTAGTGTGTTAGCTTAGTTACACACAGGCCTCAAGGTAACTTGTTATATCTATACAGTGAGATATAACTAGTGTGTTAACTTAGTAACACATGCCTCAAGGTAACCTGTTATATCTAAACAGTGAGATAGAACTAGTGTGTTAACTTAGTTACACACAGGCCTCGTGGTAACCTGTTATATCTATACAGTGAGATAGAACTAGTGTGTTAATTTAGTTACACACAGGCCTCAAGGTAACCTGTTATATCTACACAGTGAGATAGAACTAGTGTGTTAGCTTAGTTACACACAGGCCTCAAGGTAACCTGTTATATCTACACAGTGAGATAGAACTAGTGTGTTAGCTTAGTTACACACAGGCCTCAAGGTAAGCTGTTATATCTAAACAGTGAGATAGAACTAGTGTGTTAGCTTAGTTACACACAGGCCTCAAGGTAACCTGTTATATCTACACAGTGAGATAGAACTAGTGTGTTAGCTTAGTTACACACAGGCCTCAAGGTAACCTGTTATATCTACACAGTGAGATAGAACTAGTGTGTTAGCTTAGTTACACACAGGCCTCAAGGTAAGCTGTTATATCTAAACAGTGAGATAGAACTAGTGTGTTAGCTTAGTTACACACAGGCCTCAAGGTAACCTGTTATATCTACACAGTGAGATAGAACTAGTGTGTTAGCTTAGTTACACACAGGCCTCAAGGTAAGCTGTTATATCTAAACAGTGAGATAGAACTAGTGTGTTAGCTTAGTTACACACAGGCCTAAAGGTAACCTGTTATATCTACACAGTGAGATAGAACTAGTGTGTTAACTTAGTAACACACAGGCCTCAAGGTAACCTGTTATATCTACACAGTGAGATATAACTAGTGTGTTAACTTAGTAACACACAGGCCTCAAGGTAACCTTTATATCTAAACAGTGAGATAGAACTAGTGTGTTAACTTAGTTACACACAGGCCTCAAGGTAACCTGTTATATCTAAAGCGAGATAGAACTAGTGTGTTAATTTAGTAACACACAGGCCTCAAGGTAACCTGTTATATCTAAACAGTGAGATAGAACTAGTGTGTTAACTTAGTTACACACAGGCCTCAAGGTAACGTGGTATGATGGATGTCCCGTGTTGCTGTTGTGTTTATTTTTCGCCATCCGACGTGTAAAAGCGGAGTTGGGTTTTTTGTCGTTCACCGAATCAAGAATATTTCCCCTTACGCCGGAGCAACAATCCCGATAAGCTCTAAAGCGCTTTTGCCTCAGACGCCCGACGGACTTCACTGCAGCCGACGGCGTCTGCGTGTTGGCCCAGGACTTGATTCGTGTGTTCGGGGATGTGCACATGGAGCTGTCAAACCCCCACACGGCTTGCTCCGTATTCTTCTTGTGCAGGGAAATTCGAATTTGCAGGTCCATGCGGCAGTTTCAATTTGGGCCCAAAAAAAACCCCCCTTATTTTCTGTTTCTCCCTTATGATGATACTTTGTAGGATGAACGTTGATATTTATAAGGGACACGGAGAAATTCGCCTAGCAATGCCGCGGTGTTGGCTGGGACATGCCCGGCCGAACTGTGTGACCTTTTCTCTCTTCCACGCCGGGATGGTGAATAGGGTGTGCCTTCAATTTCCTGAACTTTGTCAAACCACTCAACCAATCCACGTGGCACCTGCTGGGTCTGTCCCATGACCTACCTGCGATTCTTTTGACTCTTCACGCATAAATCAGAGTACCTAGGCAGGCGCAAGCGCCGTGGTAACGTCACCGCTACCTAATGGCTAATGGCGGTTGTTGTTGTAGCTGTTGTTGATGTTATGGCTGAGGTTTGCCCACATTCGTGGAGCCTGGCCCCGTGTTTCACGGACGCTCTCCTGTTCTTTCTAGGATGCGAACCGCGGTGCAGCATGGCGGTGGTGGCAGCAACAGAGGCAGCGATGGCGACTACGTGGAGGAGTTCACGGTGCCTGCCAGTAAGGAGGCCCTGGTTAACAACGCAGAGCAGAATCTACAGCAGATCTTCTTCGTGTGCATGACCCTCGTGACCACGGTGGGGGACAACTTCTCCTGGGTCAAGCTCACGGGAAAATCTCTGGAGAACGTGCAGCGTGCCAAGGTGACCACTGGCATCCGCCAAATAATTTGACCCCGCACGGCAAGAATGGGTGGCGCGCGGCGGGGTGGCACAAGGTCATTAAGTGAGCCCACACTCGAGTTGGGTTCCGATCGCCAGCGATGGCGCAAACGTCGGCGGGAGCCAGTGACGTGTGTGAGTGAAGTACGCTCAAACGACCACCACGATCTGACATGGCTTTGGGTGTCCCTTAGTCCAGGAGTAGAGGGTCAAGTGGCTGAAGTAATTTTTTACCGTGAGAATGCCTGGAGTTTCTCCTTCGAGAATCTGTGTTAGTATTACAAAAAAAAAAAACGCTCGGACATTTGGTTAGATTGGAGAGAGGCAGGCCTACGTGTCGGGTGCCCGAGTCGGTACGAGGGTTCATTCATACGGCCCGGCCGGCTTGCTAATTTTAATTCACAATTTGGTATTTAAAGCGCGTGGACTTCTATAGTTGGGTTTCTGTGGCTAACTACAAAGCAACGGGGACTTTTCCCCTGTGCGGGGGCTGCGGCCGGCTGGCTGGCCGGCCGTGCGTCAGTTTTGCGAATGTGGAAAATGACCATAAAAGGGGGGTGAACGCTGCGAGACGGCGTGGTCGTGTTGTGGGAAACGCATTGGGTTCATTCACGGCGGGTGCCACTGTTTTCTGGCGGCGTGGAGCAGAAACCAAAACCCCCACCATCGTCGCCGCCGCCGCCACCACCACGCGTGTAGCTGCGGCTGCTGCTACTGCGGTGTGTGTATTATGCGTGGCGGTGCACGCTTTCGTATGTTGGTGGCGTGTTCTGAATTTTGGGTGATTTTTTTTCTTTTGCCGTCCGTGATATTTGCCGATCTTTGCTCATTTAATTATTTACCCAGGAACTACCTTTTCCACCTCCCTCAAATGTGGAGGAGCGGTGGCAGAGTAGTTAGCGCCCAGCTCTTAGTTCTATAACTAAGCCCATCATCTCACAGGCTCATTGTCACCGTTGCCGCACTCTGCCTTGTGTGTTGTGCTCACCGCTTGCATGCCCGCAAACTCTGTGTGCAGCACATTGTGGGTGCCGTGCGTGTCGTGTATGTTGTGTGCTCTGTGAACCGTGTGTACTGTGCGCGTCATGCGTGCTGCACATGCCGTGTGTGTTGCGTGCCGTATGTACCGTGTGGATTGTGTGCGTCGTGCTGTGTGGTTTGCTTCGTGCGTGTCGTCCCCCGTGCGTGCCGTGCGCTTGACGTCGGCTCTGCCACGCCCGCAGGAGTTCGTGGTGGGGCTGTGCGGCGAGGGCCTGCAGGTGGAGCAGCGCTTCCCGCCGGGCCTGCAGTGCGTGTACGAGGGCCTCGCCGGCCGGTTCCTGCGCGCCCTCGTGTGGGACAGCCGCGCCGACGTGAGCGTCACCGGCGAGGGCCGCCTGACCATCCGGGGAGGCACCGAGGCCGTGCTTCTGGCACAGACTCGCGTGCAGCACTTCTGCGACTGCTGCCGTGAGACGGACGCGGCGGGGCGCGGCGCCGCCGCCACCACTGCGCCGGGGGAGGCCGACTCGCTCGCCAAGCGTCGCTTCAACCGCCTGGTGGAGGAAGACGGCGGCAAATACGGCACCGAGTTGCTGCTGCTGCCCCTGATCATCAAGCGGGACCTCCTTGAGCTGCTCGACGCGGTGGGGGCCCACGCCAGTTTCTCGCGAGGACCGCCCGATCGGACTCGTGGGCCCTTCGTGCTGTCGGCCCGAGGGGCGGAGGCGACGGAAGCGCCCGGCGGCAGCGGCGGCAATAGAATCCGTGTAAGGATGCCGACCGAGGGACAGAGGACATATGGTAAGGGCAGGGAGGGCCTGTCGAGGGAGGAGAATGACAGCCCCGTGACCGAGCTGAGTTCCAGCTTCACCAGCGCGCTTGGCAAGGCCGAGGCGGAGACACCCGAGGCGGAGGAGTCGGAGGAATGTGCAGGCAAGCCCTTTGAGAGAGTCAAAAATCCGTCGGTCAAACGGAAAACCTCGGACAGCGAGTCCACGGTTTCCGGCCAGATGAAGAAGCACTCGCCCGCCAACGTGCCGTCGTCCCGCAGGCTCAGCGAGGAGGAGGGCTTCAGGTGCCGCGGCCGCGAGGAAGCGACCGCCGCTGCGCCGGCGACGCCGGAGCCGGAGAGGGAGCTCAAGTACCTCGTGAATTTCTTCAGCACCATGGGCTATGATCCGGAGTTGGTGCGGAGCATCGTGTTGGAGATGGGGCAGCAGACCGAGGCCTCGGAAATCCTCGATCGCCTCCAGGAGAAGGCCACCTTGGTCACGCCGACGGCGGACGAGCGGGCCGGCAGCGAGGAGGCCGGCTGGGAGGATTCGCAAGAGGGCTCGTACGCGACGCATTGGGTCGTGGAGGCGGCCATGAGCCTGGGATACACGCGCGACGAGGTGGGCGATGTGTGCCGAGCTGTGGGCACCGACCCGCGCAGCGTCCTCAACGAGCTGCACCGCATGGGCAAGCGAGCGGCACCCACGGCGGCGGAGCCGGGCGCCGAGAGCGCGCGCACGGAGCAGCGACGCGAGCGCCAGGGCGGTCCCACGGGGGCGTTGACGCGCGTCTTCTCCCGGGGCGTTTGCTCCCACGCCGACAGAGCCGCAGCTCAGGCGTTGAGGAAGAAGCCGGCCCCGGAGGTGAGCCTCTCGCGTTCCCACGGCGGAGAGGAAGCGGCGCGCGGCGGCCCCGTGAACGGCGCCGCGGGGCTCCCGCGGGGCGGCTCGTCGTCCTCGTCGTCATTACAGCGCGCCCGTTTGCCCAGCGCCGAGGCGGACGATCTGGAGACGGACGGAACGGGCGCGCCTCCACCGGCAGCGAGCGCACGCCCCGACAAAATGAACTGCATCGTCATCTCGGACAACGCGAAGGACGTTCCGCACGTCTGCGGGCCTGCCGACGGCGCGGCAGGGAAGGAGGCGGCAAAGTGGCACGTGGAGCAGCCGGGCCCCCGCCAGGAGTGCGCCGTCTCGGGCAGGTGGGCAGGTGGGGGCCGGCGTGGCCGTGAATCTGAGCAGTGGTTAAGCCTTAGCCCCCCCCCCCCCCCCCCAACACGCAATTTGCAGTTTCACGACTCGATGTTTGGACGGCGTTTGCTTGTTGCGACGAGTCGATTAAATGTCAGCTGGTGCCCTCGCAATGCACCCGTCAAGTGATGCGCGCCAGAATTGGCTATTGATATTTTCCACGGATTGTTGTATGAAGGATGGGATAATGTCAGATTTATGCCGCGGGGGGGTGTGGGGGGGGGGGAACTAAACTAAAACTGAGACGGGCAAAAACTCCGGCGCAAACCAGGCGGTAAAAAAAGGGAAACAGAAAAGCGTTGCATTTCGAAACCACACCGCAGCCCTCGGATCATGGCGATCGCTTGAATCGCCGTTGGGGGGGTTGCGCTGTCACACCGACCGAGTCCGCTCGCAGTTCCGGTTTCTCATCGATGTTCGTAACGACTTTACAGCAGCAGCCGAGTAGCGGCCGCCACCACCACCACCGCCGCCGCCGACACTACCACCGGCTCCAGCAGCAACCTGCGGCCGACAGAGCTCTTCCTGCTGGGGCTGTCCAAGCCATACAAGCTGTACCTGCCGAGCGAGCCCGGCAAGGAATACGTGCGTCACGTCATCGTGGACGGGAGCAACGTCGCCATGGCGTGAGTGCGATCTCGCGCGTTCGGTTTAGCGGGGGGGGGGGGGGGGGGGGGGGGGGGTGGGGGGGGGGGCGCGGGGGCGCGGGGACGCGGGCACCGTCGTGCAAGTCGTCGTCAAAGGGAGGGGGGCGGCCTTTCTGAGCTATTGTCGTCGGGCGAGTTTTGTGACTTTCCTGTTGCAGATGTAACACTCGCATCGAGCAGCAGAAATTCCCCTCCTTAATAACAAAAAGCACCTCGCTCGGGTTTGTTTACACGCTCTTGTCCTTGACCCCTCCCCCGCACCTCTGATCAGCACGGTTGGCTACGTACGGTGCGAAAGAAGTTCAACGTACACATATATACACATACACGTCACAGACTGTGATATCATCAAGAATCGGTGTCGTCGTCATCACCACCATCACACTTAAATACATATTCATCTTTGTCACGGGGCAGGATACATTTTCTAAATAGTGAGTGGACTTCGCAGCACAACGTGGATGGGGAAAATCCGACTGAGTGACAGAAATAGAAGGCACTTCCCTAACTTGCACAACAGTTGCGCACGAAATTTTACCACGGTTTTTTTGCTGTAATTATTAAACAGAGCCTTGGCTCGTGGGCAGCGAGGAAGTGCCGTCTGTTCCGTCACCACGTGCAGACGTTGTGTGTCGCGCAGGTGAGTCACTCGCCCGCGGGATAAATTTGCCGACAGTCGTCATTCGAGAAATTGCGCGCCGCTAATCCACGGCAAGACAAAGCCGCTCGGGTACTTGCCAATCCTACCGGGCGACGTCACGGACGCGTCAACGAGGCTCATAATCGCAGGGGCTCGCTCACGTCCGTCGTGTGTGACTAAGGGCTCGCTGGCAAGCCTCGGCTGCGTCACGTTTTCCCCGGGCGAGGCCTTGAGAAAATTTCCCAGCCGAGGTCACACAGGCGGGGTCACCACTGGGGCCAAGGTGACGGTTATTGCCGCCGCTTGCCGCTGGTGTCTGTGCCGAGAGTTATTACCTTTTGTTCGATTCTTGTATGAACACCGTTCGTGTTACGCTTGACGGGCTGTCAAACGAGGGACAAGGGTCCGCCCGCATACCTTGGAAGCGTGGCAAAATGTGGGATGAGAAAAGGACATGGAGGAGGAGGAAACAAAGACACGGAGAGCTTTGACAAAGACTACGTTCACGAACGCGAAGCACTTACTGCGCAACTACGATCGGGCGGCAGGGTGGTGGTGTGACGGTAACGCTCATGCCTCACAACAAGAGACCCCTGGGTTCGATTCCCGACTCGGGTGTCCTCTCTGTGTCCAGCTTGCGTGTTCTCTCTCCCTGCTCTGCATGGGTTTCCTCCAAGTTCTCCGCTCTCCTGCCATAACCTCCGACGCTTGAACTAGGCCTTGGTACCCGTTGTGTCTCTCTGCTAGGTTGACTCGGCCTGAAAGCAACACGGCGAAGCAACGGGCCACGCCAGAGCCGAGCTTTAGTTCACACCAGATAATGCTGGTTGTAATCTCCAGCGAATCGTCGTGGAACTAAATGATCAAACTTTGCTGGGACTTTTCAACATTTCTAATAAACCAAATCAAGTTGTCACATTTGCCCACGTGACAACTTGATTTGATTGGCTCTGTCGGGTCGTGGAGGGCTATCGGTGAAAATCGCATCCACTGCACAAACCGTGGCAGATGCGGATTCCTGATGTACAAATGGAAAACTCTCCAGTAGTGTGCGGCTAGTGGTCAACCAGTCAGACTGTACAAGACGAATTCACGACTTCACATTGTCGCACCACCACGTTTTGGGCCACCTCGCGGACCTGCGGGTTTTCACAAATCTACGCGATCCCATCAACTCTACTAAGAGGCAAGCCATCAATACACAAGGCAAGCCATTACTAAGATGCAAGCCACTAATACAAGGCAAGCCATTGGCATGCGGCAAGACATTAATATACAAGTCAAGCCATTACTACAAAAGGCTGCTTGCAATGGCGATACACGCTCCTACACGTAACTGTATCGCCGCCAAAGAGAGTGAAGCTGAGTGGGCCACTGGGCTTGTGGTGGGTTGTAGGGCACACTCCAGTCACCCCCCCCTTCCCCCCCCCCCCCCCCCCAGTGGGCTCCATTCACCAGGCCTTTGTGAATTCAAACAAATGGCGAGGTTTTACAGGGGCACTTGCAGTGGCGCTGGGGCACGCCCACGCGGTAAATTTAGACTGGAATTTCCCAAAAAACTTTACCGTTGCCCTTTACACCCAATTGCAGAGCCGAGTGCTTCCGTGTGCAGTCAAACGCAAGCCGCAATGACTTCGCGATTAGGGGCAGCGGTCTGAAAAGCCGTGCGCTAGGCGAGAAATCCGCGGTTGCCGCGCGGGGAGGCGTTTTTTTTTTAACGCGACAGAAGCACGCGAATGCACGGCTTGCGCTTCCTTAACACAGCAAAGCGCACTCGTACACGACGATGACTGGAGCCGTGGACATGTGATCTTCCTGTGTGCTTTGTCCTTAGTATCTTAAGTTGTGTTTTTTGGGGCTGGAGGGGCAGGGAATGGGGAGAATTCCCCCCTCCCCGTTCCCGATTTGCAGAGCACCTTGGGTTGGTGGGGGGGGGGGGCGTTTCAAGGTACGGTTTGTGGAGAGGTTTCATTCCGCGATGGGGTTGGAGCGCGTGCGTGCGTACGTCTGTACTCGCCCCCGTAGTCCGCGGCAACCCTTGGCTACGTACGGTGCCAAAGAAGTTCCACGTGCATGCGTACAGCCACTTCGAGGCACTGCAAGAGAAAGTCATTTTTTTTTTTAAATCGTGACGATTCGCCGGCGACGTCGGAATCCGCCGTGTGCCTGGGAAATGCGGTGACACTGAGCGGAATCAGGAGGCCAGGGGAGGATGGGTTTGGGGGGGTGTTTGTGGAGAGCCGCGGTGCGTTTTACGCGACGCGACGCGGTGAGTGATGAGTTGGGGGGTCTTGTGTCGGCCCGGCCTGAAAAGCATAACTCGTCGGGTACCTCGCAGCAGCAGCGGCTCCGTAGTTTCCCTCGCGTCGAGTCGCTGTGCAAGTGACGCGCCGCGTGGGATATGCAGCCCACCACAGGCTGGAATGTCTAAACGGATCTGAAACGGTGAAGGGCACTTGGTTCTTACAGAATCTGCCCGCCAGCCGCACACGTAAGCTTTGTGACTCGGCACTCCTGTCTCCACTGTAAACTGAACACGTTATTTGGTGGTGATGATGCTTCTGCGTTGGCAGTGGGCCACAAAAGCACAGTTAACGACTATACTCTTTAGTTATTTCAATAAAGTGACGTAGGTAGAAAAATAAATAAGTAATATTTAAAAATACTTTTTCAAAAACACGCTTTAATGAAATGTACCGTACTAGTAATGGCAGAACTCCACGACTCCAGGAAGTGGCCCCGAAGCTTGCCACAGCGTAAGGGGCCGTGGTGATTTACAGCCAACGTCAGTTGAGCGTGGACAATTAGACCCAAGCCGAAACATAACATATAGAAAAGATTGCTTAAAAATATATATTTTTAATTGTTAATGATAGAATATAGTATTGTCATCAGTGTGACATAAGTATACCAAGTTTGCAGTCGATACGACATTGGGAAGTGGGTTAAAATTGAGTTACAAGATTTTTAGAGGATACGATAACAGACGGAGTGAGTTAAATAATAAAAGCGTGAAAAAATAAATGAAACTGAGCATACGACAGCAGACAGAGTTGAAGATACAACAGACAGAGTTGAAGATAAGTAAAAGTGTGTAATAATAAATCGCGACGTTTCGATCGCAACACAAGCAATCGTCATCAGGTAGAAAGAAACAGCAGTTCTACTTCTGCTGCTGCATCTTTCTAACTGATGACGATTGCTTGTGTGCTGCGATCATAACGTCGCGATTTATTTTTGTATTTCTCTACTCACGTGACTTTACCGAAAGAACCAAAGAGTATGGATTCCTGCAGTCACGAAAACTTCAAATCTAGATTTAACAACTAAACAAAAACTACCACAATAACTCTACCTCTCTCGCCTCCCGAGAATGCTGTGAAGGAGGGCCGTTGCCCAAGAATGTCGCCAATTATAAGACTCTTCCGTTTAAAGATCACGAGCCTTCTGCGTTTCCTAAGAAAGGAATGTGGCCTTTTGCTGGTTCACAAGATGCGTTGTGGGAAATATAAATACGTGTGATCTCGCAAACTTATATTGACAATAAAAATATGCTTTGGTGTTGCTGCAGCTATATTGGCAGTAGTACACAAAGCACACTCGCACAAAGAACGCGACACCTTCGTCAACAACGTTGTGGCCTCGAAAGGTAAATATAATTGTCGATGTTTCGGGGCAGTGTGGCCCCATTCTTCACAGCGCACACCCGGGCCTGCTATGTCTCGCGATACAACGTGCGAATGCGCACGTTCTACGTCTCACGCAAAATACAACGGAGGCCTTTCGAGAGGAAGTCGCCCACGTTCCCGTGAATGGGTCGCGCATTCCCAGTGCCTGCCAGGCTTCAGACGATCTCAGCAGGCCTCGTCGCTCGACGCGAATGGAGGGCGACCGAGTGTCTCTGTTCTGTCGCTCGCTGTTTACGGGTTTGGAGGAGCGTCGTGTTTGACGTCTGGGCAAGTCGGTTTAATCACCACGTAGGCTTTCGCCACCGGTAGTGAGGACGTCATCTTGAAAAATTGGCTGATGGAGCTACTTACAAATTACCAGCGAAACGTCATGTATTCAAATTGGAAACGTTGTGGGTTTACTCTCCAACACACCGGTGTGCCGTAGTAGTAACTAATTGGCACGTTTACGTGACAAACCTTACAAATTGGTTGTGCCGGGTCGGAGGTCGGTTAACGACACATTTATATTTACGTGATCTAACCCCAAAAAAAACCCTTTATTTACGAATAGTCTGAGCAAGTCGCTGTGTGGGCGGGTTGGTCATGAACAAAACAACTTCACTGGGGCTGCAGGGTGGCAGCAGTGGCAACACTCGTGTAGTTTGACAGCAATATTCATTAAAATTTCCAACTCGGGCACCTTTCCGCGTGTGAAGTTTGTAGCGTTCTCCCCCTGTTCAGCATGGGTTTTCCTACCGGCTTATCCAGTTTCCTCCTCTAATGGCGACAAAGAAATACACAGTGTCCATTGCCATTCGCTCAAACATCCCAGTGGAAATATTACTTGATCAGCAACATCGCCCTGCCCCCCTCACCGACTGCGAAAACTTGGCAGGACCCTCCTGAAAGAGTCTTGAGACTCGGTGAGGCTTTCCTGGGTAATCAAGCGAAGCAATAATACTAGTTCCAATAGTTCCATCGGCGTCATTCCAGTGTTTTGTGTTCTCCCTGAACTCTTGCAGGAGGAGAGCAGTGCATTCGGCCTGTGTTAAGAGAACGGGCCGTGGAAAGTGATACTGCAGAATTAATCTTGATTTTGAAGCTTTCGTGACTGCAGGCATCCATACTGCTGGTTCAGCAGTTCCACTGCTTGATTATATATTTTTTTTCCGCCTGAGGACGACCGCTTGTGTTGCGATCGAAACGTCGTGATTTATTTTATTTTATACCTACGTGACTTTACCGAAAGAACCAACGAGTATTGCAGAGTTACTTCGGAGCTCGCCTCGAATGACAATTATTTTTATCTACACACTCAGAGGGGGCGCACTTTCCCGTGCACTGCTACAGAGAAACATTCCTCATATGGCAGTCAAACTGATCTTGTAAAAACAATTCTCATATCTGGATTTTTCCAAATTAACTGAGGAATAAAATGTAACTTTAAGTGTTTATTGCAGTCGTTGATGCCCAGGTTGAGACCATCAACTCCCTATGCTTGAAATCACAACGGTTTAATCACAACCCAGTCTATGGGTCTCTATGCGAGTCTGTGGGTCTCTATGCGAGTCTGTGGGTCTCTGTGCGAGTCTCTGGGTCTCGGTGCAAGTTTGTGGCTCTCTATGCGAGTCTGTGGCTCTCTATGCGAGTCTGTGGGACTCTATGCGAGTCTGTGGGTCTCTATGCGAGTCTGTGGGTCTCTATGCGAGTCTGTGGGTCTCTATGCGAGTCTGTGGGTCTCTATGCGAGTCTGTGGGTCTCTGTGCGAGTCTCTGGGTTTCGGTGCGAGTTTGTGGCTCTCTATGCGAGTCTGTGGCTCTCTATGCGAGTTTGTGGGTCTCTATGCGAGTCTGTGGGTCTCTATGCGAGTCTGTGGGTCTCTATGCGAGTCGTTGGCGACCGGGTTGAGACCATCAACCCTCGATGCGGAGAACCCGGTTTAGTCACCGGCGGCTCATTTCTAAAATTCTCAGGATCTCAGCGGGTCCCTGCGTGTTCTAGTTTCAGGTTGGTCTTGTTTAACCAGGCGAGAACTCAAAGGAGATCAGGGATTAATCTGATTTGCAAGAGTGACCTGTGCCGATTACCGAAGCGACGAAAAGCAAAACAAAACGAAGCACAGCAGTGATGCAAAAGGGAAAATCTGGAGTAAGAAACGAAAATAGTGCAAAAACTCAACTCGGGTGTTAATTCGTGAACTCTCCCATGTAGTTCAGGTCTGGCCAGGGCGGATTACATCTCCACTGATGCCCCGTAGCGCTCTGCAACACTCCGACTCATGGGCCGCTCGGACACCGCAACAAACATTTGGCGCCACTCGCGCTATTACCAGAGGTGTAAAAAACTCTCCGGCCAAAGGGATGACATGACACCTTGGCCACCAATCTGGCCCTGGCGTGCGGAGGCACAAAAAAAACAACTGCGCCCCCCCCCCCCCCCACACCCCCCCCCGTCAGTCATATCAAATTGAGAAAAAATAAGGGAACTAAAAACATCCCCTGGGGGGGCTGTGTAGTCAGGGGGTGGAGGGGGCCGTGCGTGTTTTGCACGTCGTCGCTCGGTGGCGTGACTGGAAAGTCCCCGTTGGCCGCTGGTGGGGGGGGGCGGGGGGATGACGGGGTGTGGCGGAGTGTGTGAGATGGGTGAGATGGGGGGGGGGGTTGCTCATCCAGTGAGAATCCGTCTGAACTCGCCGCGCGTGTGGTTGTTTCACATCGCGTTGACACACAAACGCGCGCACGTTCCGTCCTCGCCGCCGCCGCCGCCACCGCCCCCTGCCCAGGTTTCACGACTCGCGGTCGAAGACCCGAAGCCTCCGTGCTTGAGCCAGGCTGGCGGCTGTTTTGCGTCGTTAAAGCGAGCCGTGCCACCTCCCCCCCCCTCCCCCCACGCCCAGCTCCTTCCTGCAAGAGAGATGGGAGCTGTCTGCGTGTGATTCAGTGCCCACTGAAGACTGAACTTTTTCTTTAAGGTACTTTTTTGTTTTGCAGGGGGAATTTCTCCGGTCTGACGCCGAAATAACTTGGTGTAGGTGGTGGCGTAGACGTCAGGCGAGACCTTGTCATCATCCTCCCTCCTCGAGCTTTGGCCTTTGTAACCTGGCCTTTGTGTGGAACCTGGCCTTTGTGTGTAACCTGGCCTTTGCGCGGTGGAAAATTGGTTCGGCACAAACCCGGCGACCCGAGTTTCGGTCACCCCGCTCGCGGGCAACAGCAATGGAGAACATCTTAACCCGTCCTGTTGCTTCCCCTAGGTCGACTCGGCCTCAAATTAGTACGTAGCGCGTTGTGTTTTTAACCAGCACTGGGGGAGACAGGTGGTGGGGGTGTGATGCCGGCCACCCACCCCCTGTTGACCTTCATTCGGTGCTTTCTATAGCCACACTTGCCCCAAATGTCTGTTTCAAGGCTATATGGGGGGTTCTTTGACTTTTGTGTGGGTGCGTGTGTCTCACTGCCGCCTGTTGCGATGGCCACATTTCAACTCCTTGAGTTGGTGGTTGTAAAGGACAACGTGGCCACACATTCAGTTCTTTGGAGTTGGTGGTCTGCATAATTCTTTTGTACACGCCCTCCCTGCACGTTGTTAAATCTGTGTGTTTGTGCCCGTGTGCGTGTGGAGCAGGCACGGCCTAAACCGTTATTTCTCGTGCCGGGGCATGGCACTGTGCGTCGAGTACTTCTGGAAACGCGGACACCGCAACATCACCGTCTTTGTGCCGCAGTACCGCACGCGCCGGGACCCATCCATCAAAGGTACCCACTTTTGGTGCATTGTGGGTAGTGTATACCACGGGCGTGTGGTGCATTATGGGTAGTGTATACCACGGGCGTGTAGTGCATTGTGGGTAGTGTATACGACAGGTGTGTGGTGCATTGTGGGTAATGCGTACGACAGGCGCGCATGGCGTACTGTGGGTGGCGCGGGCGTGTGTGGTGCATTGTGGGTCGTGTATACGACGCACGCGTAATCGTGCCGTGGGTACATCCGCTGGGCGCGCGTCCTCACATTGCTCGCTCCCCTCCCCGTGCCCTCTCCGACACAGAACAGCACCTGCTGACGAAGCTTGAGGAGCTGGGGCTGCTGTCGTTCACACCGTGCCGCATGTTCGAGGGCCGTCAGATCGCCACGCACGACGACCGGTGAGAGAGCGCGGGCGGTGCCCCTACGCCGGCTGCCCAGCGGCCTCCTCGTCCCGGTGCGCCACCGCCGCTCAACACCGCATGAGCGCCTCGAAACCCCGGCGGCCCGAGTTCGATTCCCGTTCATGGCCAACACACCAGTGACGATTACCTTAAACGGTCCTGGACCTCTCCCCTAGGTCGACTCGTGCTCAAATGAGTACCTGGTGCGGTGTGTAAAACATTGCCACTGTGGAGACAAAGGCGGTCGGGCGTGGTGCTGGCCACCCAGCCCCTCGTGTGCCGGCCTTCATAGGTGCTGCTCGCCAATAGCGCTTTCCCCAACGGTCTCTTAAGGTTATAAAGGGGAGTATCTTGTTTATGTCCCCACATAGACTCGTACATATGTAGTGGCTCACTCGGAGACAGGTTTTTTAAGGCACCTTTTATTCTGCACGTCAGGGAACTACACACACCCTACGTGCTCACACGCCAGTCACACATCCGTCTCTTTTTACGGCACTACCTAGCTAGGACAGTCAGCAGGCTGTCTAGCTTGCGGCGTCTAAGATGGTCGAGACGAAGGTGACGAACAGCGGACACAGCGAGGGGGGATCCGCTTCCAGCGAGAGCCCCGAGCTCTCGCCCCAGGCCCCCTTTTATCCTCCCGGCGTGGCGTCGCTCCACCCACGCCACGCCCTCTTTCTGGGACCGACTTGTAGGTTCCCGGGGCTTCAAGATAGACCACTTAATGGGCTTTTCCTTAGATCTCCTCACACTCCCTCTGCTGATGTGTGTACTGCCCCCTGCTGCCAATACCACTTTCCCATCAGCAGCCAGCGTTATTACACTACACATATATGCACCTCCGATTAGCACGGTTGGCTACGTACGGTGTGAAAGAAGTTCAACATACGTATATGTGTGTGTGTGTCTTTACCTTCGTAGCTTCATGCTGCACCTGGCAGACAACACGGACGGGATCATCGTGACCAACGACAACTTCCGGGAGTTTACAAAGGAATCGATGGCCTGGAGGGAGATCGTTAAGAAGCGGTAAGTTGTGGCCACGCGCGTTGACGTGCACGCTGACGTCCGCTCAAACACGCGTCAGGCTGTGGGCACGGTGGTAACACCCGTGCCTCGCAGCAAGAACATCCTGGGTTCCATTTCTGACTCGGGCGCCTTCCCTGTGTGCAGGGGGCCGTATTATCCAATAGGCACAGTAGGCACTTTGGTTAGGGCCTACGAAAACTAAAGGACCTACGAAAAAAATGTAGACACATTCTTTCGTATGATAAAAAAATGTAGCCAAGATATTCTTCTTGAAAAACATTAATATATAGCAAGGATTGGCACTGTATATGCAACGAGGCAGCAGAGGTTTTTTTTCATAAGGTGAGAGAAATTAACGCCGGAGATAAACCTTTCGAGATTTTTTTTTATTGCAAAATTAGCAAATAATGTCTTCAAACGGTGTTTTTCGCAGTCTCATTTCTCAATAGAAATGCGGTGGAAGGCAGGACAAAGCGGCGTAGTTCTCGGTTGATCAAAGCTAGTTTTTTATCAGCTTTAGCTTCAAAAAAACAATGCTCCCCTTCACAATTCGTGCCAAAGATGGCAAGATACATCCTTGGAGCAACGTAAACATTCAGATAACATCTTCAGTGTTCAGAAGATTGAATGTTTCATCGGTGAAAATGAACGGCATCCTTTTAAAGCTGCGTCATCCGAAATGATCGTAGTATGATCATAGTAAAATGATCATAGTATGATCATAGTAAAATGATCATCGTATGATCATAGTAAAATGATCAGAGTATGATCATAGTAAAATGATCATAGTAAAATGATCATAGTATGATCATAGTAAAATGATCATAGTATGATCACAGTAAAATGATATAATATGATCATAGTAAAATGATCATAGTATGATCATAGTAAAATGATCATAGTATGATCATAGAAAAATGATCATAGTAAAATGATCATAGAAAAATGATCATAGTAAAATGATCATAGTAAAATGATCATAGTACGATCATAGTAAAATGATCATAGTATGATCATAGTAAAATGATCATAGTATGATCATAGTAAAATGATCATAGTACGATCATAGTAAAATTATCATAGTATGATCATAGTAAAATTATCATAGTATGATCATAGTAAAATGATCATAGTAAAAACCTACTTGTGGGTTCCCGGGGCTTGAAGAACTTTTCGCTCGTAATATTTTTTAGGCTTACCTTGTTTTTAAAACAATAAATTCTAATTAAATATTCTCATCTGCAGCACACGGTGTACCCCCATTGAATTAGGGCACAGACTCAATAATTAACTCATCAGTAATGACATCTGTCCAGCGGCTGGACGAAGTAACGCGCGAAACAAGGGATTGACAGCAGCAGTAGCACGGTAAACCCTTCTTTTTTTTTCATCAAACATGATGCCTTGAATAAAGGTGTCAGTTTTTGTGCCAGTTAAAAGGGTAAAACCTATTCCTATATCCTAAACCCTTCTTTATTCGACACATGTGGGGCTCTGGCCTTGCCGCATTATCAAATATTCCGAATTATGTACAATGGTACTCCCCCGTGCCTCCTGCCCCAATAAAAAAAGAAAAATCCAAATTTGTTTTCCAAACTCTTCACACACCCTACGCATCGACACACACCCTGCATCACTTCTATCCAAAACTTGGAAATTATCTCGCAGACTAAGGGATTCACACTTCAGTCCGTTCTGTTACTTCTTGATGTAGGTGTAGACGACATTTCTGAGAGGGTTGGCTCGCACAGAATGCACAAACGTGGTAAAGTACAAGGCGACACTCACGCTCACGATGTGCGCCACCACCACCAGACCGAGTCGTCGTTTTGGTCGTGGCGTGCGGCGACCCTCCACCTGCTATGCCGTAATTGGACCATTCGGTACGGCAATTCGGCTCGTGGCGGATTTACGAATACACCGTATATATATGCCGAATTATCCCCAATTACGAATTATCGGACACCGAAATCACGATGTTTTACTGCAGCGACATGGGGAAGCAGCAGTATCAATTGTAGAACGTTAACACTGATGGCCTACGAAACGGACGTGCCTAGGGCCTACAAGAACCCTAATCTGGCCCTGTCTGTGTGGAGCGTGTTCTCCCCCCTGTTGTCCATGGGTTTCCACTGGGTTCTCCGGTTTACTCCCATAGACAAAAAATATATATTTTAAACATAATGCAAGAGGTATTGACCAAAACATCCCAATGCAGAAATATTACTTGTAAATTACTCAATTGGGATTACGTGTAGCAACATCGTCCTGTACTGCAAGACCTTGGCAGGACCCTGCTAGCAAAAAATGTTTTGAAAGTCTGAGGTTTTCCCGTGTAAACAAGTGGAGCCGTAATAACAATGATAATAACATTGTAAAGGTGGTGTTGATGGTGGTGGTGTTGGTGGTATAATGGAGGTGTTTATTGAGGTGGTTTTCATAGTGGTGTTACCACGGTGGTGTAGATGGTGGCGGTGTTGATAGTGTTATAATGGTAGCATTGATGGCAAGGTGTTGGTTGCAACAATGGTGGAGATGGTGGCGGTGTAGACTTTTTTGTTTCTGTTGGTTATAACGGTCGTGTAGATGGTGGTGGTGTGTGGGGGAGCGGTGGTGTAGCGGTTAGCGCGCTGCACTACGAATATGACGACCCGAGTTCGATTTCTGCTCACGGCCAACATTAGTGACGATTATCTGAACCGGTCCTGGGCCTCCCCTAGGTCGACTCGGCCTCAAATGAGTACCTGGTGTGGTGCGTAAACACATCGCCACTAGGGAGACAAAGGCGGCCGGGCGTCGGTGCTGGCCACCAACCGCATCGTGTGCCATTCTAACAGCACTTGCCCCAACAGTCTGTTAAGGTTATACAGGGGATCTTTGTCTTTGGTGTAGATAGTGTTATACTGGTAGGAATCTCCTGGTTACACCAGCCCACAGGGGATTATTGGGTCCGTCCGTCGTGCATCCAAAAATGGGAGGGGTGGGGCTGGGTGGAGAGGGGCTGGTCACCCCGTGCTACTCACGCCGGCTTGTGCCCACCCTCACAGTCGGGGATATTTGCGGAATACACCACGTGGTGGTGCCGTTGTTGACCCTGGCCATTGACTGAGCAACCCAACATTCCTACCAGCTCCCTCCGCAGGAATGTTTTAAAAGCGGTAGTGTTAGAACGGTGTGATGGATGGTGGCGGTGTCGACGTTATAACGGTCGTGGAGATGGTAGCGGTGATGTTACAAGGGTGTTAAGTAACGGCGATGTTATAACGGCCGCGTGTGCGTCTGCGCTTACCTCCCCGTGGCTTCGTGACTGCAGGATCCTGCCGTACACTTTCGCGGGAGACGTCTTCATGGTTCCGGACGACCCGCTGGGCCGGCACGGCCCCCGCCTCGACCAGTTCCTCACCAAGCCTCAGTCCACGCGGTAACTAGCGCCGTCTCCTCCCCACGGTCCTCGCTCGCATCTCTCCGCGTGGGGGGGGGGGGTTTGGGTTGGTGAGACGCGGTCTCAGCTCTAGTGGTGGTGTCTACGGCACGGGAGGGCCTTGTCAGCACTTTAACCCGCGTGGGCCACCGTTTTGTTTAATTTGTTATTCCCCCCTACATGTAATCCCCCGCCCGCTCCCCATTCATGCTGTCGGTGGCCCCGTGTAGGAAGACCCTTCACGTTAGAGAACGGCCCCGCAGAAGCGGATGCGTGGAGGTACCTCGGAGCATCCTTGAAGTGACCCCCGGTCCACGCAAAGTAGAGGGCAGCTGGTGCTGTGGCAGTTCGCGCTCTGTGCTACGAACCCGGCGGCCCGAGTTCAATTCCCGCTCGCGGCCAACTCGACGAGTACGTGGTGCGATGTGCAAACACCTCCACTGGGGGGAGAAAAAGCCGGCCGAGATTGGTGCTGGCCCACCCATCCCTTCGTGTGCCGTGCCAGCCTTCATTGGGTGCTCGCGAACAGCGCTTGCCCCAAAAGTCTGTATCGGCTATACGAGGCGGGCGGGTGGGGAATGTTTGTCTACACAGGCTGACGAGCGTACCCTACGTTTGCCTCGCCACGCAGATTGATGCACCACAACCCGGCCGCGTACCAGGCTAAAACCTTTCCGCTCCGCTTACCGTCGGCGGCAGCCGCCACCGTCGCAGACCTCCCGGGCTCTCACTCCATGAACGACTGCGGACGGCGGTGGCCCAGCCCGCCGGCCGAGGCTCCGCGGCCGACAAACGACCTGCAGGATCTACGCAGGCAGCTCCTGGACATCTTCCCCGCCGACGAGGAGAAGGTGCAGCGGGTGCTGCAACAATACCCGGCGGTGAAGGACCTCAACTTGCTCTCGGACCTCATGCTGGACGTGTAGTGAGAGGGGGATGGAGGGGGCTCGGTAACCCCCCCCCCGCCCGCCCGCCCTTCTACCCCCCCCCCCCACCCGTCGTCATCTCGGCGCTCTGCCAAAACCTGTCGGCGTCTACAGCAGCACGGCACAGCTCGGGAGCTGGGCACGTGCGGGGGGTGGCGGTAGTGGCGGCGGCCGCGCTTACGGTGGTGGCGATGGTGGTGGCAAGTACGAGGAGCAAGCGGAGAGCGAAGGCCGGCAGGAGATTGATTGATGGGGTCCTGTTATGAATCTGTGAAGCCCGGCCTTTCACCGCCACTTCACCGTGGATGCACATTCGAATTAAACTGCAGTGATACCTGTGTTGTAAATATTTTGGTTATGGGCGTTTAGTTAATTAAATTTAAGGTGTTAATTTAATTTGCACGAAGCGGCGGACAAAGAGGAGGCCTTCTCATCCGGAAGTGGATTTCTGAAAATATTATTTATTGCGTGAGTTTGCAGCCTTTCCGGAAAGTCGCCAACATTGGCCGGCCTGCCCGAGCAGCCTGGCTTCGAGAGGCATCGCCGTTTAGAAGTTGTACATTCCTCCCCACCTCGAGTCATCAGGGTCAAGATGCGTTTGCTGCAAGCTGCTGCACCTTCGGTCATCTTTGGCTGAACGAAAAAAGCAAGCCCGTTTAAAGTCACCGTTGCTTTCGCTATGTCATGTAGATATTTAACAACTGGGCGCATTGCTTTGTAGAGGTACTATTGATGTTACTGTACTGCGTAGGATTCGGTAAAATTTACCGAGAACCTTATGAGTTTAAACAAAAAATGTAGGCGCTCTGAATCCGGTCCAGCCCAGGAGAGAGACGGCGCTTGGAGGGCGGTTTGTCGAACACGTTACTTTTTCAATCCTCTTGCACTTTGTTGGTGTTTTGTTGTCGATGGAGACACCGTGAAGAAACTTTACACGTGAGAGCTTTTGCTCACGATGTTATATGGATTCATAATTTATTTTTTTGGGTGTTTTTTTGGGGGGGGGGGGGGGGGGGGCGGGGGGGGGGGTAACATTGTCAACATGTGTCGACCCTACCCACCTCCGCCCGCGGTTGCGTTATTGCTTCGGCACACGCCACCACCACACCGCAGAGCAATGCGCGTGGCGTTTCGCAATTTGCCCCGGACGTTTCGCCGCTAGTTGCTGCCAGCCTCGTCCGGCTGCTTGCCAGAATTTTTTTGTGTGACTTAGTGTAATGAATACATTTTTTTAAAATCAATTTCGTAATCTGACCCCCCCCCCCCCAAAAAAAAAAATACCAATTATGAATCACTTGTGATTAACACTACGATTGTCGCTGGATGTGTGGCGCGTAAATCCACGCCAAGTGATGGTACCAATGACCCCGAGCAGGCGGTGCGGACTCATCGCCCCGAGTGCTCGCGACCCATCGCCCCGAGTGCTCGCGACCCATCGCCCCGCGCGCTCACAAGCTCTCCGCACCTCCAGAGGCAAAGCAAGGACCGAGCCTGAGGACGGCTCCCGAGCGGCGGGGACCCACCGGTGCATGTCGGGTCACCGAGGCATGAGCCGGCGGGGGCCGTGGGCCGGATAGAAAACAGCAAGTTCAGCGATCGGCTCAGTCAATGTCTATAGATTCAATCTAATAGGTTGCTGCGTTGGCCACAAAAGAAGGTGAAAAAAACCATCCTTCGGTATAATTGACGATTGAACGAATGACGTACCGGGCAAGGCGGCGGAGTGAGGCACCGTGCGTCAACAACGTGTGGTCACGGGAAGAAGCGGTGTTGCAGCGGGTTGGCACGCTGCGCGACGTACCCGGCGCCCCGAGTTCGATTGCCGCTCGTGGTCGCCGACACCAGTGACGTATCTGAACCGGTCCTGGGCTTCCCCTAGGTCGACTGAGCCTCAAGATGGGAACCTGGTGTGATGAGTAAAGCAATGCCACTGCGGAGACAAGTCTCTTGCGGCTATACAGAGGGGGTCTTTCAGAGCGAGTGGTTTTTGCCGCTATTCGCGCAGATGACAAAACGACGCTGCGTCTCTTAAAATAAGAGTTCATTTATTTTTCTACCGGTGTTTAAAACAACGCGTCGATGCCTTGCCCCGGGAGGTTTTCGCCCTCTTATTTGTTCAAAGTTCGTGTTTTCTATACATAAAAAAACATTCACCACTGTTTACGTTTCCGTGTCGTTTAATAAATCCACAATTTTGTTATCAGGTAAGGCCCCATTTGAGCTTCGGAGCTCTGTTTTCAGAAGCGACCTGGGCCATCACGAATGACAGCTCGACGAAGTGGCCTCCCGTCACGTGGACATCGATTGCAGCAGCCAAATAGTCGAGAAGCATGTTTCTGAATGTGGAGGGGAAAAAGGCGGAGGAGCCGGAGAAAAATCCACACGACCACGGAGAGAGAAACGCCTCAAACCATGAGGTTACCATTTGTTAACCTCAATGAGGTTACCATTGAAGTCAACCTCATACCATGAGGTTGCAATTAAAGTTCACATACCATGAAGTTACCATTGAAGTTACCATTGAAGTTAACCTCATACCATGAGGTTACCATTGAAGTTTCATTGAACACGAGACCACTTTCACCGGCGAGCGACACCACGATACATTTCAGTTGGACAGGTTTTATTTATTCATCAAGACGGAGACGAGAGGAGTCCACGTGTTGCATGCATTGAGAAGATAAAACCGTGAAAACTACGTAAGATTGTTTTTTCCTTTTTGCTTTTCCTTGCGTATGCCCCATCATTTGGATATTTTTTTTAAAGGTGTGTCTTGATTTTAAAGGTAGGGCCACCTTGGTTTCATTTAATACTGTAACGTATTGCGATGCGATGCCCTCTTTCGTGGGGGGCGAGTTCTTACTCAAAAAATAAATTGAGCGAATGAGTCGGTTGAGGCTTTTTCTGGACAAACGAGGGGAACGCCAAAAATTGACAATCCCGTCAACTCCATCCTGCCGCCTCTTGAGGTCTCTTCCCACCGCTAACAAACCACACAGCCGAGCGTCAAGGCAGCAGCAACGTGTTGAGAAGCGGGCACCAAGCTCTGTGGTCCTCTATATATCACGAAGGCGTTATCGGCCAACGAATGAGCGGTGTAGAGACGCGGGAGGAAACGCCACGCGTACGAGGCAGCAACACTCGATCCCCGTACAGATGGAAACTGGATGGGCGATTAAGTCCACTTTCTTTCTCCTGACTGACGAGCCGGGGTTATGTGGCACCGACTCGACGCCTACGGGCAGGGAGTGTTACGTGTTGTGCGGTGATCCAGCAACCCCTCACTGCTGCTGCTGCCTTCATAGTGCTGGATCACGGGCAGCCACTCTGCAGCAGCAAGCCATCACCGCCGCCGCACGGCTAAAATTCCAGGGGGTGCGAGAATGAGACCACTCCTCGCTAAACATAACCCATTCGCAGAGCAGTCAGTGGTCTCATCCGCTCACCGAGCCATCGGAGCCTCCTCCCGTTTACAGCCCTGCGAAGCCAGCGGTGGTCATTCCACATTCCTACGGCAAGGGTGGAGGTGGCGAGTCATAAATTCTCTTTTCCCCCAGTTGCATCGCTTTCGGTGTCACGTCGAGAGACTAATCCATTCTGAAATATCTGACTTCGAGAACAGCCCACTGAAGTGGATTTCACAGAGCTACTTCTGAGATCCTTTCAAGGCGACCTCTTCCGCACGGGGAGAGGCCGGCACTTCTCCACACACCCCCCCCCCCTCTCTGCACGTGCGAGTGACACTGGTCAAGCGGATATTTTTTTTTTATTCAAAGAGTCGCCGCTTATTCGTGTGCTTAGCAAATTCGGAAATGTTTATTGAAAACGACAAACAAACGCATCGACGAGAAGATAGGAAGCAGCGCCCCGTTGTGCAGGGACGTGTCTCCCAGGGGCGCCAAACACCACAAACTATGGGCTGGACAGCGCCGACAAAGGCCATGAGTTACAACTGGGAGGCGGTTTCTGAGCGCAACAAATTATTAGCCAATCAATCCCAACTTGCCAAACACTAGTTCTGTCCCGAACCCTAACAAGCCCTACCTCTAACACTAGCCCTTCCCATAACCACGAGCCAACTCACCATTGGCCCTACCTCTAACATTAAGTCGACCTCCAGCACAAGGCAAAGGACCCCCGCCCCCCTCTCTCCACGTGTTTGTCCTCGTCTCGGTTTTGTAGTTCCCATTGCTCCCCCCACCCCCCCCCCCCACGCAGTTGGCGATCACGACCAATCAGGAGAGCACTGCCCGTGTCTCTCTCAGGGAACACAAACGCAGCACCCCCCACCCCCCACCACTATCTCACACACAGGAGCTAACAGCTGCGCGAACACTCAGCGGAACTCGCGGCTCCACCCGGCCGCCACGCCGACACGTCCGTGACGAAGCATGACTTGGGGGAGCGACGGCGCAAGCGGTTACCGCTCGTGGTGCAACCGCGACCGGATCGTGCCGATTATAATCTGGATGTGGCGCTGGAGGTGGTGGTGGATGTGGTGGTGGTTGTGGTGGTCGATGTGGCGTTCCGTTTAGTTGATGGTGAGGACGTCCGTCTGGATCTCGTGGCTCAGCTGCGTCTGGAGGTCGCTCAGCTTCTTCTTGAGGACGCCGAGCGCCATGAGGACCACGTTCTCGGGGCGCAGCGCGCCAGACGTCTCCACGTTAAAGTAGAAGCTACGCGCGCGCACATACACACACACGCGCGCGTACGTTCACACACGTACGTTCACAAGCACGCACGGGTAGTTGGGATTCGGAGTGCTGTGCAAATGCCACCATGCCACCGCTGCCCACACACACACACAAGACAAATATGAAGACAAAGATTCCCATTATAGCCTTAACAGACTGTTGGGGCAAGTGCTGCTCGCGAGCACCGATAAAGGCCGGCACACGGCACACGAGGCGGTGGGTGGCCAGCACCACGCCCGGCGACCTTTGTCTCCCAAGTGGCGATATTTACACTCCGCACCAGGTACTCATTTGAGGCCGAGTCGAACTATAGGAGGCCCAGGACCGGTTCAGATAATCATCACTGGTGTTGGCTGCGAGCAGGAATCGAACGCGGATCGCCGGGTTCATAGTGCAGCGCGCTAACCACGACACTTCCACGCGAACCACTACACTTCCGCTCCCCACACACACAGCCACAGAATCTAATGCATGTCCACGCACACGCAGAGAGGAGCGCGCACACACACACAGAGACACCAACACAAAAACACACAAACGCAGACCCACACAATGCGTGCATCTCACCGGTTGGGCACTCCGTTGGGGTCAAAGGGCGCCTGAATCTCATCCTCTTCGAGCTCGGAGTACTCGCTCTTGGGCCTGGGCGGCACGGAGGGCAGGACGACGGGATGCGGGAACGGCGGAGAATAATTCATCATAAATGTAAAAAATAAAAACCAGCGCCTCTTTCCCCGAGCTCCCTACGAGTGCACGTGTGCCCTCTCTACGCCGAGTCTGGACGTAGTCATATTTAGACGCGATACCAAACCGAACAGTATTCTCAGCCACTGCAGGCAAAATTATCATTATTATTATATTTTACACACCGTCAAAATTGCATCTCAAAACACTGAACATTGCGATTCACGTGAACATGATATATAAAACAAGAGATACTACGGAGACACGGCTCACGCACAAGACACAGGGTACGGAGGTTGAACACAACACGAGCCACAGAAAACAACATAAGAGACACAACAGAACCATTGTACCGGTATCCCGCGACTTACAAAAGGGATGCGTTCTTTAACGCGCGTACAACGAAATTTCGTAAAGCGCAACGGCTTTTCCCATTATAATGTTAGTTAGGGAATGTGTTTCGGACGGTCATTCTAACTCTAAGGCCCGATTGGGGACCATACCATTCTTCAGGCTTGGGGAAGATGGTGTGGCGCAGGGCGTTGTCGGGGTCGTACTCGAAGGCGACCCCGGCCGTGGGGTTCCACTTGGCGTGCTCCTTGCCGAAGCCCTTCTTGGCGTGAGCCCGCAGCTTCAGCTCCTGGCCCTTGCGCAGCTTGACGATCAGGATGTCTGCGCGCACGCGACACGCGCCGATGTTCAAACACGCGGCGGCGCACGCAACGCACACGATCGACACGGAGCGGTCGCACCGCGTGCACGCGACGTGGCCAAAGACGAAGAATCCGTTCCCCCGTCGTGGCCTTAGGACTTTTTGGGGTAAGTGCAGCGAGCGAACGCCTAACGAGAACCGGCATTGGCACGCAAGGTGGTGGGTGGCCAGCATCCCGCCCGGCCAGTGGCGACGTTTACCCATCGCACCCAGGTACTCAATTGAGGCCGAGCTGACCTAGCAGGGAGGGCCCAGGACCGGTTCAGATATTCGTCACTGGTGTTGGCCGTGAGCGGGAGTTGAACTCGGGGTGCCGGGTTCGCGGCTCGGCGAGTTAACCACCGCGCCAGCGCTCTTCACAACACACCGCATCGCACACAGCTGGACGCGGCGCTGCCTCACCGTCCTGCTCGCCGTAATCGTTGGGGTCGTCCTCCCTGCTGCGCGACGTCACCTGGAGGCGGCACGAACGCAGGCACAGCAGGTGAACACGCGGTGCGCACGCAAACCTACAAAAACATAAGGGGGTTCCCTGCTGTGTACATTCCAACGGAGCCATTTGCAACGTCATTTTTCTCACGTGTCAAATTTGGAGCCGCGACGCCGCCACGCAATGGCCTACTCGTGCTGAATGTTTACAGTCAATACGCTCACCGCCGCGGTATTAATCAGGGCCGCCCGATGGATTTGAACCGTGAACCTCCGCCGCAACAAGCGGCGAGCTCGCATCCGCGAGGCTGTGTCGCCGTCCTGGACTACTGATCCAGGACACCATTGTCAGCGGTGATCTACCGGTGAGCTACTAGGGTTAGAGTTTGAGTTTCGTCATGACCAAGGTTAGGAAAGTACGCTTTTATAATATAACGGTTGTGGGTTAGGACCAAGATGTGCAAGAAATCAGCAGTGAGAAGAAGAGTGGTGTCACGTGTTTGGCAAGAGCCGTGGGCCCTGGTACGAGGAATTAAATGCGCGTTGAACTTAGAACTTCTTTCGCACCGTACGTAGCCAACCGTGCTAATCTTAGGTGCGGGATGCCCACACACTCCCAGCCCATTGATGTTCCCCTGTGCATGCCCCCCCCCACCTCTTCGTACCTCAGCAGCTGGGCCCCTCGGCCCGTGGGCCCCCAGTGCAGTTGCACCGCCTGCACATTGCTCGTCAGCTGCACCGCTGGAGAGGGATTGCCACTCCATTGCGAGCCGCGTCCGGGCATCACGTGCGCAGGAAATGCGGTGCGATATGCGTGTGCGTGCGTGGAGCAATAGTGTTGCGGTTATTGCCCCCCGAGTTCGATTCCCGCTCACGGCCAACACCAGTGGCGATTATCTGAACCGGTTCTGGCCCTCCCCTAGGTCGACTCAGCCTCAAAAACGAGCACCTGGTGCGGTGTGTAAAAACATGGTCACTGGGGCTAGACGGGGATCGTTGTCTTTGTTCTGTGCGCGTGTGTGCGTGCGTGTGCGTGCGTGCGTGTGTGTGCGTGCGTGTGCGCGCGGCGCACGTACGGGGACAACGCGGGGGTTGGTTGAGATGAGGTCACGTGAGGTCACGTGCCGCGTCTGATCCTCCGAGCACTTCACCTCCAGGTTTAGCTCCACCGAGCACTCCGCGCAGAACTCGTCGCAAGTGCAGTCCTGCTCGCACGCACACACACGTACGCACACAAGAGGGAGTTTTAGAGTGAAGAGGACAAGGATGAGACATATGCGTAGGTGGTGACGTTGCCCAGCGGGAGAGGGTTCGCAGCTTGTTCGTGGTTCCAATTTGGCAGGCAGCCCTGGTTATTACTGCAGGTGTATGAACCATATGGTGTTATGCGCCGCCTGCTTCATAGTGGATGTTGAAGAGCTCCTAACGTCATTTCAAACGAGGAAGCCATCGTGTGCCGGCGTCATGGTTCAAGTTTGCCAAATTACACTGCCAATTAGTAAATTGGGATTACACACATCAGCAAGATCGTCTCCGACTGTGAAACGACTGTCTGGGAAAAACACGGAAAAGTCCTCCGTGACGATGGCCCTGCGCTACCAGAACGATAGCGCCACGACGATTCGATGCGTCTGCAACGAGCGCAGCGCGCTTTCAGGAGGTGCGGGCAAAGATATCGATCGATGCACGTCACGATGCACGGACTAAAGTGAATTCATGGTACATACGTACCGTATTGAAACGTTCCTTAGAACTGACGACTACTTACCGGATATATCGATTCATTGATTAAAAGTGTGGTTAGCACGTTGAGCTACAAACCCGGCAACTCGAATACCCGCCATGGGATGAGCGGGATAGACTGGTCCAAAGCATCTCCTATGAAACCACAAACCCTTAAAAAAAATATTTTACCAGGTAAGGCCCACTGAGCTATGTGTAGCTCTTTTTCAGAAGCGACCTGGCCACAAATGATAGCTCAACAAAAGTGGCTCATCACGCGTACATTTATAGCAACCAAAAAACTGTTAACGCATTTTCATTCTGAAAGTGGAGGGTAAAACCGGAGGACCCAGAGAAAAATCCACACCACCATGGGGAGGACAGGAAAACTCCAAATATACAACAGACATAAGGGTCAGGATCAAACACACAACCTCCTGTATAGTAGGCGAGGTAGTTAACATCTGGCCACCGTGGCGCTCCACTCCCTGCCCTGTCACACAGCCTCTCTGTCACAGGCACCTACCCGAGAGTACTGCATCTTGTCCACGATCTCGTCGCTGGTGAGAGGGATGAGCCCTGCGGGGGGGATAGGCGAGGACACGGGGGTGAAGGCGACAAGGTAAGCGTCTCGCACAACGGAACCGTCCTTCCCGCACGCGGCGGTCGTGTTGAATTTACGGCGTCGGGCATGGTGAGGGCAGTGGAAGTGACTGGAAGATTACGGAAGAAATCAGGAGAAAGGGGCCACGGAGAGCGGGGAAAAGAGGGAGCAGTGAAGTTGGTCAAGAACAAAGCGAGGAGTCGGAGCAGCAGAGACGGGGGGGGGAGGGGGGGGGGTGCGGCCAAACAGCCGCAGTGACCATAGCCGGTCCAGGCAGGTGCGGTTAAAGGGTGTGGGGGGGGTCACACACCGACGCGGTGAGCGATGAACTCATCGTGCAGGACCGAGGAGTTGGCGTCGATCTGAACCCAGTCGATCGCTGCAACAAGAACACACACAGCGCCACACGTCACGCGTAAGAGCGATCGGGGGATCGCGCGACCGCGTCGTGTGATCCCGTGTGATCCCGTGTGCTAGAACGCAAGGGACATGGGGGGGTTGACGAGCGAGGCTGCTTGCGAGTTCGCTCACTCACCTAGGGTGGGGACCTCGGCGTGGAACGTCCGGCGGAGGGAATTGGCGACGCTGGAGGTACAAAATTTGCGGAACGCTCGTTACACACAAAGTGCTGTTGCCACAAATGAACCACAATACCTCGCTGATCTCAAGGAGCATAGACCATCACGCAAACTCCGGTCATCCTCGCAGCGGCTTCTGGCTGGCCATCGAACAAAGACGGTCACCGCATCTCGCGCTTTCGGATGCGCTTCTGCGGCCGTCTGGAACGTTCTTCCTTCTCATGAGGAAGCCACTGGAGCTACGCACTGTTAAATCATCTGCATTGAAAACTAATTTCTTTAGAACTGCTTGTTGTGTTAAGTTTCAGTTTGGTGTTTTAACATCTTAACACAACTGTTTTGTTTGCCAGAAAAAAGAGGAAAACCTATTCTAATTATTATAAACAGTTTGCCTTAAGAGGCTAACCCCCTTTTCCTGTGTTGCGAGCGAAACGTCGTGGTTTTTATTTTTTACTATAATTATTTTTTCTATCTACGTTACTTTACCGAAAGAACCAAAGAATATAAGTACAGTAAAACCTTGGATTGCGAGTAACTTGGTCTGCGAGTGTTTTGCAAGACGAGCAACATTTTTTTTTAAATATTAATTTGACAAACGAGCGAGGTCTTGCAATACGAGCAGTACGTGTGTACGCTTTGTACTGCCGACCGTCACGTGATCACAACTGATATACGAGTGCTTTGATATACGAGTGCTTTGGATTACAAACACGTTTCCGGAACGAATTATGCTCGCAATCCAAGGTTTTACTGTATTATGAAAGTTGTGTTGGGATGCGTTGGTGTTTGTGTGTGTGTGTGGTTCTGGTTGGCTGCACTGGCTACAGGAATACACCACAAATAAACACATTCCTGCGGAGGGAGCTGGTAGGAACGTTGGCTTGCTCGTTCAATGGCCAGGGTCAACAACGGCGGCACCACGTGGTGTATTCCGCAAATATGCCCGACTGTGAGGGCGGGCACAAGCCGGCGTGAGTAGGTTAAACGTTGAGTTTTATAAGGGCACCACGGGGTGACCAGCCCCTCCCCACCCAGCCCCACCCCTCCCATTTTTGGATGCACGATGGACGGACACAATAATCCCCTGTGGGCTGGTGGTGTAACCAGGAGCTTCCTACCAGTATAAGGTTGGCGTTAGTGCTCGCGTTCGTGTAGACGATGTCGCTACGATGAGTGTTAAGTGTCCACGCGAGTGTTAGCGTTAGTCTGTCAAGAAGTTCGTGCAGACGCAGGCTACGCGATAGTGTTAGTGCATGCTCGCGTCCGTGGTGTAATGTTAGTACACGATGGAGCTAGAGTGCATTATTGTGCACACTAGTGTAAATGCCAGGGTACGAGATAGCGTACGCCATGGTGTTAGTGCTTGCTAATGTTAGTACACGCTATTGTTTGGGTTAATGTTACGCGCAAGTGTTAGTACACCGTACTGCTAGTTTTAATGTTAGCGTACATGATAGTTTTAGTACACGTTACTCCTCGTGTTAGCGTACACTCGTGTTTAGTAAGCGTTATAGTACACGCTAGCACTAGTTGGTACTAACACTGGCGCTTGTGTTCACTAGCACGTACTAACATTCACACTCGTGCTAGCGTTAATGTTAGTCCACAAGGGCGCTAGCGTGTTAGTACACACTCTAGCGTGTAGGACTAACACGCTAGCGTGTGTTAGTCCACAAGGGCGCTAGTGTGTGTTAGTACACACGCTAGTGTGTGTTAGTACACACGCTAGTGTGTGTTAGTACACACGCTAGTGTGTGTTAGTACACACGCTAGTGTGTGTTAGTACACACACTAGCGCTAGCGACGGAGGCCGTGGGACTTGGGGCCTGGTCTCACGCCGCACCGCGCGCCTCCTCCTCCTCGCCCTCCACCTCGCGTTCCTCCCTCGCGTTCCGTCATCGCCGCTTACGCGAGGTCCGTGTCCTCCACGATGAATTTGACGTTCTCGTCCGTGAGCTCCGAGATCTTCACCGTCGGCTGGTTGGCGTACGGCATCTCGGGCAACGTCGTCCGCTAGGCCCCAAGCGCACGACGGGGTCTGTGGGGGGCGTTACCACGGGGACCGGCCATCGTACGTAGGGTTGGGGGAGTGTCACTGGTGCGGCCATTTTACGTAGGGTTAAGGGGGGGGAACATATTACGTAGGGTTGGAGACCTGGGCGGCCATCTTACGCAAGGTTGGGGGGGGTGTAACCTTGACGGCCATCTTACGTATGGATGTGGGAGACCTGATGCCACCGGCACGGCCATCTTACGCAAGGTTGGGGGAGTGCAACTAGGACGACCATCTTACCGGGGGCGGCCATCTTACGTAGGGGTGCGGGTTGGAACGGATGCCACCGTGGCCATTTTACGTAGGGCGGTGTTGGGGGGGGGGCAGATGCCATCGGTGCGGCCATCTTACGGAGGCTTGGGTGAGGGGTGGGAACCGGATGCTACTGGTCCGGCCATCTTACGTAGGGTTGGGAGCCGACCGGATGCCACTGGGACAGCCATGTTGCGTAGGGCTGGGAGGGGTGTACAAATTATAAATCCAACGAGCTATGAGGCTCTCTTTTTCACAGATTGTTCCATCAAGGTGGGGCGGGTCAGCAACACGAACAAACGATATATTTAAAACCAAAGCGATAGGCGTTGTTAAATCTAGGAAAAGGTAAGGAAGTCACTAAATATGCCCTTATACATCGCCACATTGGGTCAAACTTAACATCTCTTAATGTTCGACGGCTTGTGCACCAGATCTTATTTATTCACGATGTACTTACAAAAAAATCCGCAGACTGCCTGCTGGATCTCCTCTCTGTTTCAAAGAACAAATTTGACCTCAGGTCTTCGCTCATTTACCAGCTTCACATTCCCTATTGCCGTACAAAAACTGGAGGAAGGGCCTTTGCTATTGATGCCCCCAGGGTCTGGAATGCTATTGCCAATAAACTGCAACTTGAATCGCTACTAATGAGATCTTCTCTCAAAACTGCTCTAGAGGAGTTGTACACACCTAGCTGCCACTGCTATTCATTGGCGTAAAATAAAATGTTTCGCTCCGGATGACGCTGCAAAGTATTATTCTGTATTTTGATTTAGCGTGCTGATCTTAAAGGTGCATTGAAAAATTTGATACTCCGACTGATGCTTCTGTTGTTGTGGAAGTAACTCATGCAGCCAGCTATGGCTCTAGGATTTGGTGTTACATGTTATTTATGTAGTTGTTAAAAATTCGGTCACAGTCCCTATGATCACTGTTACATTGCATTTATGGCTTTATTTTGGTGATTTCGAAAACTTTTTTGGTTTATATATACGGAATTAGACTGATGGCCTTAATCTTAGTTGTCTTGTGGTTGTTATTTGACTTGCATCTCACTGGGATTTTTGCACACAGCGTTGGTGTACGGTGCTATTTCAGGAATATTTTGCTGTTTTTTTCCTGGATTTTCTGTTTGCACAGTCACACAAAGTCACTTTAAGATGTTTTCTTGTTCATGTTTTTTGTTTGTTGCGGTTGCACCCGATTCAAGAGCCGAATGGCTCACAGGGCTATACCAAATAAATGCAACTATGAGCTATGAACTAGGTTCATCCTACAAAGTCCCATCACAAGGGAGAAACACAAACAAAAAGACACAAAAATGTTGTCCCGTATTGAAACGGCTGTACGCCGAATGGACCAGTCAACTCAATTTTCACTGTCCAAGAATATGGGTCAACCGTATGGGTTTTGCCGGCTATGAAGATGTGTCCAGCCTCCGTAACCCGACGTGATGTTCTCTGAATCCACGAGCTCTTCTGTCATTCAGTGAAACTCCCTAGCATACACGTGTCTCTATATATACTTGTATCGTGGTCAATCCACTGCTGGATGAAGATCAACATCATATTTGTAACTTACTGCCCGATCCCATCATCGTTCCCCATCCGTCTCTCAGTGTAAGGGGCCGTACATAAATGACGTCACGCGATTTTGGACGATTTTTGACCCCCCCCCCCTCGGCACACGGCGTCACAAAAAGTCAGACCCCCCAAATGACGTCACAAAGCTCTGCCCCCCCCCCAAAAAATATATAAAACATGCTTCAAATCGCTTTAAACTATTGTAATTGTAGTGCGTATTTCATGTGGCGCTGCACTCTGATGTAGGAGAAAACATTAAAAAGTCTATTTAATTAAGTAGAACGTGTTGTCTATATTTAAAGTTGCGCATTTTGATGTGACGTCACATTTCTCAACCCCCCCCCCCCAGGTGCGTGACGTCATTTATGGACGGCCCCTAATTCCAAGCTTGCGTCGTCTCTGCCACGAACGGTTTAACAACATCGGAGGCTTTCGCGACAAATATTATCCACGAAGTTTTTTTTTGGTTGGATGATCTTGTAAGTATATAAATGTGTCGTTAAACCCGCCACCACCAGACACAGCCAATCAGTGTTGCTTGTCCGGTAAACAAAACATGGCAATTCGTTACTAGTGTAATGAGAGAGTACACCGACGGTCGCCGACCGGCTGGATAGGCTCTGCTGCATCAGCCATTAGCCAATCAGGATTGAGTGGGATCATCTGGGCCAAAGTTCAGGGGGCGCAGCTCAGGGTTTGCTCGCGGGGAACCATCGGGAAGGTTCTGGAAGGGGCGTGGCTAGAGGCGGGGCTGGGCTCCGCGTCAGAGGGTTATACAAGGGGAAGCTGGAAGGGGCTCGAGGTCAGCGTGGGAAGTCTTGAAGCGGGACCGCGTCTCGCGCCTGCGGAACGCCAGCGGCCACGTGGCGGTCCGGGGTTGTCTCCTTGCGGGCCGTCAGCCAGCGGTGCGCGCAGGAGCGGGAAGCGTGAGCGAGCCGTGCGCGGGACAACGCCAACTTGACGCCGCGTAACGAAGAACGTACAGTCATTTGGGGGGAATGGAACGTGGAGCTGTCCAGCCATTAAATAAATAAAGAAGACAAGTCAGACATCGTCGTCGCTGTGATTTATTCCACTAGTACGGCGCACCGGTGCAAATTTGCCTTTCAAGGGCAAATTATCATTTCCACTTTCCCAAAAGCACTCCATCCCACTCTTGATCGATATATAATGTAAATATGTGTTGACCAACCGAGAGGTATGAAACATAGGAATAGGTTTGACCCTTTCTGGCAATAAAACAGAAGTGTTAAGATGTTCAAACGCCAAATAGAGACCCATTGCAAGCAATCAAGTTTGCATTCACCACACAGTACTTGGTGAACATGGTCTGATAATTAACGACGCAGTCTTTGAAACTGATTGTCCTGCACAAAAACTTTCTTCATGGCCTCGTCTTACCAGTTGTCAAACCAGAGAACGCCAAAAGACGGAACAGTAGGACAATGCGTGTATCAGAGCATTTATACTGGCAGGAACCTCCTGTTTACACCAGCCCACAGGGGATTATTGTGTCTGTCCGTCGTGCATCCAGAAATGGGAGGGGTGAGGCTGGGTGGAGAGGGGAGGGTGAGGAGGGAAGGGCTGGGTGGAGAGGGTGGGGCTGGGTGGAGGGTGGGAGGGGAGGGGCTGGTCACCCCGTGGTGCCCTTATAAAACGTTTAACCTACTCACGCCGGCTTGTGCCCGCCCTCACAGTCGGGCATATTTTCGGAATACACCACGTGCCGCCGTTGACCCTGGCCATTGACCGAGCAACCCAACGTTCCTACCAGCTCCCTCCGCAGGAATGTGTTAGCTCGGGTGAGCAGCTCTATCATGATACTGCCAAACAGGTCCCATGATATCGCTGCTTACCTCGACCTAGAAATGCTGTGATGGTGCATGATTTTTGCTCCCTTCGCCTTGTGGTGTTCTCGGGTCTGACACTGGTGAGGCTAGGCCATAGAGAACAAGGCTGTCCCTCTGGTGTAGGCCAATAAGTTTCAAAGACAATGCCATTATATTATTATCAGACCATGTTTGTTTGCATGTTCACCACAAGTACGTGGTTAATGCAGAGTTACTTCCTTGCAAAAGGCTGGTGTTTGAACATCCTATTACCTGTTTTATTGGCAGAAAGGGTAAAACTTATTATTTTTCATACCATTGACACTGGTGAAAAGGTCCCATGATATAACCTGCATGTAATTGTGTCTTGTTTGTGGCAGAAGAGGGCCTTGTGTATATCGCAGATGCCATCCCAGGTAAAATAAGGCAATGTTGAGCACAAAGTTGGCTTGCGATTGGAACCTTTGGCCCAACTGTGGTGCAACAATTTTCCATGTTTACCAGGATGCCCCATTTGGGAATGTATTCCTGATCTTTGTATGAATCCGAAAGAGAGAAGAAAAAAAAAAGAGTCGACATACGAAATTTTGGACGATCCGAATATTTTGTTTGCATCAGCTCGACCCGAAATTGGAAGCGGCGTCAACTAATTTGCGGCCACTTTTTACACCAAAAAAAAAATCGCGTCGCGTGGCGCTGTGGGCGTCAGGTCACTTTTGTTCGCGTGCCGACACGAAGATGTTTATGACATTCCGCGAGCGATCCGCCAAATCCAAAATGTATACGAAATCGGTGTGAAAAATCAAAAATATGGAAGTTCGTCCCCGATGCGTATTGTGCAACTGTCATGTTGGAGCTCTGCTGTAACGCAACGAGATGCGAAATGAAATGTCAGGGCTTGGCCTTCACGCCAGTTAAACTAATAAGTTAAACTTGTAACAATGCCGTCGCCACCGCCACCACAGCCGCATGGTATTTGCTTTCTTTCGGAGAGAGAGGGCGACTTGGAGGCGTGAGGTGGAACCACAGATGAGCGGGGAAGGCAGCAGCCAGGCGGTGAGCCGGCGCTACCAACAATTGTCCAAGTTCCGCAGTCCTCTATATGCTAAGATGTTTTCAGCCAATCAATGAGCGCATATACATACGGGGGGGGGGTGGGGGGGAAACCGGAACGTCCTGAGAAAACCCATGTGTGTGAGGGGGCAACGCTCGATCCCATACAGATAGAATAGGTGGGGTCCACATTTTGGCTGTAACCTTCCTTTCGTGGCGAGCCAGGGTATGGCACCGCCTGGACGCCCATCGGGAGAGCTGCCACATCCGTGTGTGATCCACTAACCCTCTCTGCCTCCACAGTGCTGGT